CCAGTGAGCACACTGGCCATCCCTATATAGGATCTGAACCCGTGGCCTTGGCGCTACCAGCGCTGCACTCTCCTGAGTGAGCCACGGGGCCGGCCCAACAATCTGTGTTTTAATAAGCCCCCAAGTGATTCTAATGCATGCTTAAGTCTGAAGACCCACTGCTTTGAAACAGAGGTTGGAAAACTGGCACAAGGGCCAAATCTGGCATGCCACCCGATTTTGTATATAAAGTTTTATCAAACATAGCCATTCTCATTGGTTTATGTATTGTTTAAGGCTGATTTCACTGTACAACAACAGAATTGAGTAATTGCAAACTGTATGGCCTGAAAAATCTGAAATTATTACTATCTGGACCTTTGTAGATATCCTTCCAGGAATCTAGCTGACCCCTGCTCTAGATGATACATTTTAAAACATATTTTTCCTATTTATGAAGTAAAACATGCCCCCTACTTCAGTAATCTAGAAACTACTGAAAAGTATAGACAAAAGTTAATCCCATTATCCAAGGGCAACCACCACAGTCAATATTTTGTCAGAAGGCAAGTTTTTAAATGCATTTTTAAAATGGAATAAATACTATTTCTATTTGATAAGTTAAGGTTCATGTACAGGTGCACCCAATCTCCTAAGTGAGCCATTCATTAGGAAAGGTGTAGAAATACTGGGAGGAGCTGGCATACCGTTTAATGTATCCACCACTGGCTGCTCCTGTGGTTGGTTGCTGAGGCTGACCATTTGTCACCGGGCCTGGCTGCTTAGATATTACATTGCTAGGTGAATTGTCTCCACCATCTCCCCATGTTGTCTTATAGGCCTTAGTAGACTCAAAGTTCTTCACCCTGTATAATAAGAGTCAGGAGTTTGGAGAGAGAGTGAAAAGCAGGAGAGGGAGAGATAATTATTAGTGCTTGTTATGTTGAGGATGACCCTAACACCTTTAGTAGATAAGCTGCACACAGCTAAATATTATCTACACTGTGCTCCATGGCAGTATGGGATAGGAAAAGATAAATTAGGTAAACCCACTGACATTAAAACATTTTTTAAAGGTCCAAATACTACTTCTACCAAATCCTCACTAAACTGTTAGCAAGTAGTAGCAAAATGCAATTATTTGGTTTTTCAGGTTTCGTTATCCTATAACACTCTCTAGAAAGAGGTTAATGCATACTAGAAAAAAAAAAA